CGAATTAGCTAATTACCAGCTGGTTTCCAGCTGGTTAATTGAGAGGGACGTGGCAGACCAGTTACAGAGCTTTTCGAATGACACTTCCACTCTAGACCCCTTCCAGTCTGGTTTTTGCCCAGGAAACAGGACGGAGACAGCACTGGTCGCCCTCACAGATGACTTCAGGAGGCACCTGGATCGAGGCAGATCGGCAGTGCTGTTGCGTACGCCCCACCAAGTGTCTCCTTGATTCATGCCCATCATAGCTAGTGAAAGCTGGTCACACTGGGTTTCAAGGTGCCCTAGGGGAGATTATCAACAAATCCCTGGGACACTCAAGGAGGCCATGGTCCATCCCCCCTTGAAAAGGCTATCTTTGGATCCAGCCGAATTAGCTAATTACCAGCTGGTTTCCAGCTGGTTAATTGAGAGGGACGTGGCAGACCAGTTACAGAGCTTTTCGGATGACACTTCCACTCTAGACCCCTTCCAGTCTGGTTTTTGCCCGGGAAACAGGACAGAGACAGCACTGGTCGCCCTCACGGATGACTTCAGGAGGCACCTGGATCGAGGCAGATCGGCAGTGCTGTTGCTGTTGGACCTGTCAGCAGCGTTTGACATGGTCAACCATCAGTTACTGATCCACTGCCTCACCGACTCTGGAGTTCAGGGGCTTGCCTTGCAATGGCTCGCATCCTTCCTTCAGGGTCGGGGACAAAGGGTGGCACTAGAGGAACAACTGTCCCAAAGGCACCCACTGACCCACTGTGGTGTGCCTCAAGGGGCGGTACTTTCCCCAATATGTGGATGACACCCAGCTCTATCTGCTGCTGGGCGGCCACTCTGGCTCTACACCGGAAGATCCAGACTGGGAGTTACAAGCCATGGCTGGTTGGCTTAGACTGCGTTGACTGAAACTGAATCAGATGAAGATGGAGGTCCTGTGCCTGAGTCGGGGTGGCCTGAGGGTAGGGATCCAACTCCCGACCTTCAATGGGGTGTAGTTGGTGCCAGCACTGGAGGTTAGGAGTCTGGGAGTGCTCCTGGACCAAAGGTGCACTAACTCCAGAAATATGGGGACATTTTTGACACTGTTAGTAAAATACACCTTTGCATCTGTTTGAGGAAATGATAATACAAGAGTACCTAATACTGACACAACGCACCACTCAACAAAACTCAGCAATACCACTGCCTTCAGAGTGCCACAGAGGCAGATGCCAAAGAAACAAGGGAAGGAACTATTCTTTGCCTTGACCATTTTGAGCCTCGGGAAACAACCCTCTAGGGCAAAGCTTTATCATAAGCAATGACAAGTGCCAAGAACAGTTACAACAATTCAGAGAATGCCTGAAGGATTCTTTCTGTAGGAGATGTAGCTGACACAGTGAGCTCTAAAACAAAAACAAAAAAACCCTTCTGCCACAAAAAGGTTAATCTTTAAGAAGTACCACAGGCCTCAGTGTTTTCAGCTCAGAATCAAAACTTTGCTTTCTTATCAAATCAAGCATCTACAATGTCTCAGAGGTTGCCATTAGATAATGCATTCAAACACCAAATATTCAAGAAGTACACCCACTAACTTTCTTTTTTACAACTGTTCATCTTCCAGGCTCAGAAAGTGTTAAATCTGTTAACTTAGCTTTGCTTCAAGGGATAATGTATACCACACAATCCTGTAGTAATTTGTCTTCATGCAAGCCAAGTTGCTATATAAACAGAAATGCTCAAAAGGGATACAGAAGTGAACCTCATCTTTAATAAACTAATTGTAGGACAGGAGCAAACACATTCTATAAATAGCAATGATCACAAAACAGCAGAGGCTCTTTCAACTAAGCACACAGTACACTTCACAACTGGCTGCTCCAAAAGATCACAAATCAAGGTGACATTTCTTCATCCTGCCACAGGGTCCAAGGTACTAATACTTCCAAGAAGGGAAGGAAAAGGAACATAAATTGGTGCAAAATCAGTCCCTTTAGCAATTTTTGGAGTGGTGTAAAATACATAATTTCATCAGATTCCAATTGTGCAACAGTGACGGGGAAGCATACCTAAGGATGTAAAGTTTCCAGAAAATTTGAAGCTATGGAGTAGATTAAAGAAAAAACAAATTTGAGAGAAAAGTGAAAAATACACAATCACTTCGTTTGTATTAAAACTAAAACATTTCACTGTTTTAACATCATAAGTGCATAATTTATAGCTTAACTAGAATACAGAATTGTAATATTTGGCATATTTATGGAAATAATGTATTATTTGAATCCACTCTGCATGGAAGGCTGTTGGGTGATTTTGGGTAAAATGAAGGAAAGAAGAATGACGTGAGCCAACCTGAGCTCTTAGGAGGAAGGAAGGGAGATCAAATCATACTAAAATATATAAGAACAACCAAAACATAACAGTGCTTCCCAGGCTCTAGGACAGATTTCCACCTCACAAGAAGACACACGATCCTTGTAGGAAAAGATGAAAGTCCAGTAAGGGAAAGAAACTTGCAGCCGGCAGAGCTAGAGGCATTCTCTTCCCAGCAGCAGAGGTTTTGTGTTAGTGTCACCAACATAGATGCACTAACCATGCAAGCTGCAGAAAACATCTGGAACATATGGGGCTTTCTGACCACAACAGTTTCTCCATTTCCTGCCTTCTTGGCTGACTGGCTGATTCTAGAAGATGTGAAATGTTCTTGCCCTACACTCCACTTCTGATGCCACAAACCCAATCCACAGATTCTTATTTATACAGCGGTGAACTGTACTTATGACCAAGGACCAACGTATCTGAAGGGCCATCTCTGCCCACATGTCCTTGTGCACCAATTACAGTATTCTGTTCTCCCACCACTAATAGTCGCCTCCTTGGAAGCTACCAAAGCCCTTTTCAATAGTGGTTCCTACTTTGAGGAATAGACTGTCTGAGGAGGTAGGAGATGCTGTCCCTCAAAGTTTTAAGAGGTGTTGTAAGGCTGTTTATTTGCTTGAACTTTGAGCTGCAGCCATTTTCAGGAAGGGGTTTTGGGATGGTTTTCACTTACAGTAGCAAGTCAACTTGACCCACAAGAGAAAGGTGGGGTATAAATATTTTAATAAATACATGTGTGTACATACAGTTGCATGTGGGGATTCTGTGCATTTGCCTGCCACAGAAATGGTAATGAGTTGGGTTGAAGTTACTGAAGGGGTAAATTTAGAAGGGGACCCAAATTCAGAGAGTTCCTAGTAGCTTTGGATAACTGCCACCTCAGGGTGATACCACCCCAAATCAACCAATGACACCCGAAATGAAGCCTCCGACACCTAAAATGAAGCCTCCTTCAACACTGCTTCTATTTTAATATTATAAGTTATTCTTTAAATACCTTGCAAAGACAGAACAGTAGCTACGTACTAATGCTTTAAAGTATCATCTCTGGCAGGC